GGGTAAGGTAACTTTACAAGTACTTCAGATAATCATAACCGCTCTACATTGCAAACAGAATTTTCCAACTTTTGTGAAAAACAACTGTGGTAGAGGGTACAGATCCTGCAGTTTTCCCATGCAACAATTAGAAGGAAGTATTACTGTGCATGCACTTTTATTAGACATTGACCTAGATTGCAGCTGGTCCCAGGCAGATATCTTTACTGCCCGTTGTTTTTAGTGAAATACATGACCATTTAAAAGGTGTGACTGTCCACCCTAATAGCTGAGCAGTGGATTGCAGAAAATAAGGATGGATACAGTGCTCAGGGTCTAATTTAACTATATATCTGTAATATAAATATTCTAAACTGGGTGCAGAACTACACTGCCGGGATCTACTGTCATGGGATGTCTATAGGTGTGTGGAGGCGACACAATTACTGCATTGTAGTCCTGAGCCGAGAATAATAAAGTGTTTGTCTTACTTTCAGTGTAGCTATTTCTTTGTGGCTTTGCCCATCTGGTTGGCTCTCGGTTATCTGATTCAGCTTCTCCTCCAACCTCACGATTTTGGCTTGAAGCTGGGCTTTATCTTCTGCGAGATGTTCTATCTGGAAATAGATTTTATTCGACAAGTTTTTGAGCTCCTCGTTGTTCTCCTGGAGCCTTGAGGTTTTCACTTTCAGTTCCTCCTCCTGTTCCCTGATCTCATTGGTCTGTTCCGAGAGGTCGTAAAAGGACTTGTCGAAAACGGTGAGCTTCTGAAAAATCTCGTTGATCTGGCTTTTCGTCTTCTGGACGAAATCTTTCAGGCCGTGCCCGAGCTGTAGGAGACCGTTGGCTAATATGCGGACATCGTCCAGCATGGCGAATCTGGGTTTGGGTTCTGGAGGTAAAGAATCGAAGTGGAGGTCGTCTTTTTTTTCAATGGCCGCTGACAAAACCAGGGGAAGGAGAATGAGGACGAGGACCTTCATCTTGGTGCTTGGAGGGAGATGTTATCCACGTCTGCTTCAAGTGTGTCCCCGCTGCCTTGTAATTAAGCTATATATATCACAGAGATTAACCGCAGACAGTTCCGTAGTTGATAATTAAACAAGACATTTGAACCTATGTAACCTCTGACCAATTTTTTTTTTTTTTTGGCTTGTGGAATTACCACCCAGGATGGAATGACACAATTCTAGCCAAGAGAGAAAAAAAAAAAAGCATATTTTGTCTAATGACTCACTTTCTGATTCTTCAAATGTATAAAAACAATGTAATTCACACTTTGTCCTGACACTTCACCCATTTTTCCCAACACATTGCTTAAGTGCAAAACAAAATGTCTTCGAGAGATATGGAAGAGAGTAATTTGTTACTATTGGCTCCAAGGACAATTAATGTGAATGTGTGGAGAATTCTTGGTATTATTATATTGAAACTTCACATCTGGTTTGTTTATATTTTTATAATACAGTTTGTGCTCTATGGCATGAAGAGGTTTTTACAATTCTTATACGAGTTTTGCTCCTGTTACAAAGGGATACCGGTTTCAGATTTGTGCTTAAAAAGTAACCCTGCATGGCTACGTGAAAACTAAAAGTCAGCAGCTACAAATATTTACAAGCCCATAAAGTCTAGCTCTGTCTTTCTCGCGCTAGATTCTTTGCAGGGATTCTGATATTTGGTGCCCCCATCTTCCATCAGGGATGCCGGCTGTTACTTCCTGATGACTCACAGCTCCCCCCCCCTTTGAAAAATGTGTTTATGTGTAAAGGTTTGCTTTAAAGTTAGTAAGTTATTTTGTTTATTAAAAGTGTCTACCCTTTTTCTTAATTAAATTGATTAAATTGCATATTTAAAGGAGAACTATGACATGAGTGCTTTTCACTCACCTCATAGTTCTAAGCCGACCTGTGACAATGAGACTGTCACAGGTCGGCTCAGTAGATCGGGAGGTGAGAGAACACATACCGGGTTCCCTCACCTCTCGATCCTGTCACGGCTCTCTGCCGTGACAGGGGAGGGGCTGGATTCCCCTCTCCCCGCTCCGATCTGCCAGCGCTGACTGGCGGAACGGACGGGGGAGGGGGCGGGTACAGCTGGCTCTGCCTCTAGATAGGCAGAGCCAGCTGTCACTCACGCAGCTGGGCGGATCCCGTCATCTAAGTCGGGATCCGTCCCGGCTGCGGCGTCTCAGTATATAGAGAGCTGTAGCTCGCGGTATACTGAGCTTAGGGTAACGGGAGGACGCTAGTTTGTGTCCTCCCGTTACCCCAAGGAGAACTATGGGGAAAAACACTGACCCCATAGTTCTCCTTTAAGTGGTACAAATTTTTAATAAACAGTAAAAGTGCTTAACACAAGCCCCTCCTGACCTCTATAGCTGCTTTTAATGCAGAGTTATTCATTCTCAAAGAACACAACAAAGACTCTGAAGTATGGTTCAGTTTCCAACAGCTTAGAACACATACTGTGTGTTTACATTAGAGGGCATTGGGGCTCTCCCTGCACTGTAAGGATTAAATGCTCAGATTTCCCTCTGTCTGGCAGTGCCGAGGAAGCATGGGGCCACCTATGACTTGCTGATTGGTCAGGAAGCCCTGAAGCCGGTGTTCTTTTGGTAGAACACCGGCTTCAAGGCAATCAGCAAGCCATGCGATGGGTCACGATCCCAGAGGCCTGACTTCCTGATAATCAGGGCACAATGCACTGGTACTCGGTATCGGCAAGATCCTCAAATCATCTCTAATTTGGTGCCGCCACTGTCCTTCCTTGTGAAGCTCACTCCTGTGATGGACTATAATCTCATGTTTAGTTTACTAATTTGTATTGAGATTGTAGTCCATCACAGGAGTGAGCTTCACAAGGAAGGACAGTGGCGGCACCAAATTAGAGATGATTTGAGGATCTACAGCCGAGTGATACACAAATAAGATACATTGTTGCTAATAGTTATGGTAATTGACTGTATTTTTAAGGTTTAACTTCTGAGTTTTTAGTGTCACTTTAAACCATAATCTCGGGTTTACAGCTAAAAACACATTTGAAATACATTTGTGTTAACTTGTATACCTGCCAAAGTGACATTTTCACCAACCCCAATGGGTTATGGAGAATATGTAAGAGAATATGAGAAGTTTAACTAGGAAAAAAAAAACTTTGGCTTGAGTTTCACTTAAATAGCAACTGGAGAAGCTAAATTGCTTATAGTGAAGT